ACAAATAGTAGATGATGGTAAGTTCGTGTGTTCATAAAAAGCGCTGCAGCTAAAAAAGGTAAGATGAAACTGGATAAGCACTCCTCCTTTGTCCTAAGAGGACCCCGCTACCATTAATGAACATTTTGATCAAAGATTCTCTCGAAAAACTCCTAATCAAAAGAGGGGTAAGGTAGACCAGGATTTCAAGTTTTCAAGGATTTCAGACTCTCTGGACCAATCAGCTGCATAAATCACTAAAACTATGGTCCTGAGATAATCTTTAAACCTTAAACCCTACCCCCTGAGTCAAAAATATTCCCCATGATGCCTTCCTAAAACCAAATAATAGTTAACTACGAAAGAATGCTTGCCTTAGGTAGTGTGCTCTTTTTAACATTTATCTAGCTACATGGGATCAATGGTTGAAAGACGAGGTTGTCTGATTCTGTGGAGATTTACAGTCTCGGAAATCCACAGGGGCTGTTCTACTCGGTCTTACAGGGTCACTGAATCTGAATCCGTTTGTTGGTAGTGGTTTTTTATATGGGCTCAAACTGACAACAAAAAGTATAAAGATTAGGTAGGAAATTAAGGGACACTGAGTTTATGTTAATGTGGGAAAAACGCTCAGAAAAGGAGAGGGAAAATGGCTGTATCGCTAGAATAATGCAATTAATGTCATTGCATGACACATGTAGAAAGTTCCAATCCTTGATAACTTATTGGATCTGAACACTGAGCACAGTGGATGCTAATATTATAAAATGAGAAACCGTAAGAACTGTGTGGCTCCCGAGAAAAGAGCACATCACCACCTATTAGGTGGTACTGTCCTGACCCCGGGCACCTAGTTCCACCTATCCATTTCGATATAGGACAGACGGCTTAGCAACAAGGAAAATTAGACCACAGGGGTATCAGCAGCAAAAACCAGAACTATGGAAAACCACAAAACAAATGACTCCCGTTTCTCCAACACATAAAATTACGAAGAAAAAAGCAAAAACACTAAATGAATGAGAAGTCTATAGATTAAAAGAGAACTTTAAAAAATACCCCAAATTAAAACAAACAGAACTAAAACACCATGAGAGAAACTCTTAATATTTAGAATGCACCAGGATTCCAAATATTATAAAGAACCAGTCACCGAAAGTCAAAATCTTTGAATATATGATCAAGTTTGTACAGTGTTTTTATAACCATCACTCACTAGTTGAAATATAGAATTAAAGTTAATGATTATTTTCTTAATTTTCTAGTAACAGAAAGCAATCCTAGTGGTGTAGTGAATTACTTGTTCAACTGGTAACCATAAGGTCAGCAGTTCAAAACCAACAGCCACTCCATGGGGAAAAAATGAGGCTTTCTGTTGCCATAAATATTTACAACCTTGGAAACCCAAAGGGGTTCTATGTCCAATAGGCTATCCGTGAGTCAGAAGTGTCTTGATAGCAGTGAGTTGGGTTTGTAATGACTCGTGATTGCAAGCATCTCTTCATGTGCATATCAGCCACCTAAATGTAGGCTTCAGTGAAGTCTCTGTTCGTGGCCTTTGCCCATTTTTTAATTAATTGCCTTCTTATTGTGGAGGTATTGGAGTTTTCCATAAATTTTAAGAGATTAAACCATTCTCAGATATTTCTTTACAGTAAAATTTTTTCTAGTCATTATTTTCTCCTTTGGTGACATTTTGATGAGCTATAAGCATTTGATTGTTAGGAAGGCCTAGTTAACTAGTTTATATTCTGTTAGTACATCTTTACTTATGTTTGATATTTTATTTTATGGGATAAGGGTGCTAGCTTTGTCGCTACTTTTGTCCATGAACTTTATAGCTTGAAGTAAAAGATTTAGATACATTTTAAATTAGTTTTTGTGGCTCATGTGAGGTATGGATCCTGTGTCATTATTTTGCAACTGGATATTGTGTTTTGCCAGAATTACTGTTAAAGAGACGATATCTACCATGGAATGGATTTCAACTCTTTCTAATTTCAGCTGTCCATGGCTAGATGGATTTATTTCTGTATTCTTGGTTCTCTTCCACTGATCTGTGTCTCTGTATTTCTGGTACGAGGCTGTCTTGACTACTGTGATTGTGAATTAAGTCCTGACAGGATTTCCTCTGGGAGGTAGTGGTGTAAGCAACCATTTTTTCACTACGTTAAATCGGTCCCTATTTGATGATCTTTATAACTCTGGGGTTCACATTTAGATCTTTAATCCATCTTGAGTTCCTTTTCATATTTTGGGGAAGGGTTAAGTCCTCCTCTTTCATTCTTCTGTCTTTCAGAGCTTAGTCTTATTGGTGGGTTCTCTGTACGTATTACTCTTCTCTAGCTACCCTCTCAATTATTTCTCTGTCTTTGGTTTTTGAAGCAAGTTTATGACAGGCCTTGGTGACTTTCTTCTGGGTCTAGAACTTCTTGGGAAGAAAACCATCTTGTCTTTTATGAGAGTAGGGATGTTTTGTGCCAGTGAATCTTCAAAAAAAAAACAACTTGGTGCTTTTGTGTTTACTTTCTTCCTGTTCTGGAAGTCATACGTAAGATTTTTTTTTTTTATACTTCTTGATAGTATCCTGTGTAACGCTTAGTTTTCTACATTTTTCATCATTCTCTTTTTCTGAAACTAATTTGTTTGAGGACAAATTAGTAGCCAGATACTTGTTTTCTATTCCACTCATTCTAGTCTTAAGTATTTCCCTTGAATTATTATTGATATTTTACTGTTAGTCTTCTAGGTTTTAAAAAGTCTAAAATCACGGATAAGTGTTGGGTTACTAACTTCTATGTTAGCACAGTTTAAACCTACCAGCAATTCTGCAGGAGAAAGATGAGGCTATTTGCTCCAGTAAATATGCAGGGTTTGGGAAATCCTTTGGCACAGTTCTATTTTATTCTATAGGCTTATTATGAATTGAATCAACTTGACAGCATCCCTATTCCTTCTCCTGTTCCTGCCTTTTAAGTGAATTTCATAATTTTTTTCACTAGAATACTGGTAAGGGAAGAAATAGAAAAGATGCCATTTGGTTTCTTATTAATACAAGCAAAAACATTTTTATCAAGTGATAATAATCTCATTTATGTAAATGAGATTTTACAAATTATCTGTTTTATATTTTACAGATCTGTTTTACATTGTATAGATAGCATCTAAAATGTTGGAAAGCATTTTTATAGGCATAAAGAAATTCTGTATTAATTGCTGAAAAGTATCAATCTATTAGAGGTTTAGTTTCATTCTACTTAAGTAACAAATAGGAAGGTAAGTAAAAAAGCATTACTATAAAATTATGGAAACTTTATTAAACCAAAATACCAAAGTGTGAAACATTTAGGCCTGTACACTTCTGAGGGTGGTGTTTCCAGGTCTCTAACCCTTCTGAACTCTGACTTACATCATGTCATGATGGCAACCTTTTCTTTTTCACTCACAAGGGACTCAAATTGGTTCCCTCTCAATGTTCTTTGAGTTTTAGACACAAAAAGGAATGTAAAAGCAAGATCAGGACTGTAGCGTGGTTGGGAAGGTTTCCCAGGGAAACTGTCACGGGGCCTTCCTTGCTTCCCTTGAAGAACGAACAGGTACATTGTTAATGTAGAAAATTAATACTCAGTGCAGCTTTCTAGGCCTTTCCCCATCAATGCAGTTTCCCGTTTTCTTAAAACTTCTCCAAGCTTCTATACTCATCCTGTGACCTTTGAGAAAATCTATCATGATGATCCCTTGGGAATTCTACGTCTCCAAAACCTTCTAACCTTCCCTTTCGGTCACCGAATTGGACTGGTCTAGAGATCCCCCTTTGAAGCCAGAGTTTAGAATGGACCCTTTTAAAAGGTATTTAAAAGACGAAGACAATATTACTGAGAACTTTTCTGCAGTCATCCACTGATTGATATGCAAGTTTGAAGAGTTTGGAACAAATCTCTACAGGTATGAACCTAAAACCCTAGTAACAATACTTGTGACTTACCATTGTATTTACAAATAAAGTTCCCATTTCAGTACTCCTTTATAGTCTGTCGAGTGGACTTTTGATCATACTGACCCCATGTGGCAGAGTGGAACTGCTCCCACAGAGTTTATGGGCTGAAATCTTTATGGGAAGAAGCCTGGGTGGGCACAGTGGGTTATCCTTCCAGCTACTAACAACAAAGCAAGCAGCGGCACCAGGGAGAAGGCTGAGGCCTTAACAGCCTCTGAAACCGTAGGGAGCAGTGAGACTCTGCATATAGGGTTGCTGTGAGTCAGAACTGAATTGATGGCAGTTGGTTTTAGTTTTGGTTTAATGTATACGGGGTCAGATTACCAAGGTTTTCTCCTGTGGAGCTGCTAGGCAAGTAGATCTGAACTGCCAACCTTTGGGTTAATAGTCAAATGCTTAGCCAGTATGCCACTAGCGTTCCCTTGTCATTATTATTCAGCATGTAAATGAAATTATTTATAAAGTTTTATTTTCTTTTATCCTAAACCTTTGTCTACCGAAACAGACTGATAATTGGTCTGGGGGATCAGGAGGGGCACACTACTATTTTTTTTTAATGGAAAATTTATTTCCAATAACTTCTAAACTATAGGATGAAATTGTTAAAAATTCCTGGTGAGCTATAAACTCGTAACACATTACTTATGTGCATAGTATGCTTGTCTTATATGGAAATAAATAATGAAAAGAAGATTAACTTTAGGTCATTTCATTAGCTAAAAGTAAATTATTTACAGCCTTTTTACTAAATGACTTTGAAATATAAACTTGGTTTTAGGAGTTAACATTTTGATTATTAAAAGTGATGATAAATAATATGTATTATTTTATACTTATCTAGTATTTATTACCACGCCTCTGAACACAAGCTGATGGCATGTTTCTGTAAGTAGTACAGGTATCTACAAGGCAAAAGTGACCAGTCCTTTTTAACATATGTTGACCAATATAATAAAGTATTTCTAGCCTACTTTTACCCAATGCCTTATAAAACTTACAAATATTTTTATTTGCATTTACTTACTTTGTAATACGGTCAATGTTGGCAATTTGCTTCTGGTTCCGTATAATCTCAATAGCAGCCCAGAGATGCTGGATAGCTTTTGTATCCGCCTGCCGTCTTTTTGTTAAACGTGCCATGACCTGTTTACTTCTTTAGCTGGAGTAATATATAAAAAAATAAGGAAAAACATGATTATACATGAATTATTATCAATATTCGTAACATTGTCAGTGCCTCTTAATTACTGGTGATAGTACCAATTTAATATTGCTAATCTTTTGCTTAATATTCTACCATCCATACACTCATTACTTCCTAAAACTTATTTCATTGCTTCATAAAAGAATGGTATTTTAAAATAAAAAGCTACGGTTTTTCTCAAGCAGAACAAGTGGATACTTTATTCTAACCTAAATACATTGTTTATTCTATTCATATTTTATTTTATTCATTCATATTTTATTTTATTCTAAAGCAGATATAGGACACTAGAAAATTTGTGGTATTTGTATGATAGAAAAATGCAGTGGAATCTAAATGTCCTAATTGTTGGTACTTTATTTTATTCATAGGGTTTTCAGGCTGTGACCTTTGCAAGATTTCTAGACCTTTCTTCCCAGGCCCAGCAACCTCTAAGAAGTCAGTTAAATGTTTAATCCTGTGGGCAACACAGGGACTCCTATTTTACAATAGTTAAAACCCACCACACCAAATTCACTGCCAGCCAGTCCACTGACTCCTAGCAACTCTATAAGACAGAGTAGGGATTTACAGTTTCCAAGATTGTCCATCTTTATAGGAACAGACAGCTTCATCTTTCTCCCATGGAGTGGCTGGTGGGTTCGAACTGCTGACTGTGTGGTTAGCGGCCCAAAACATGTCCACAATGGTACGATGCTATCCCTGCAACCAGGTCTCCTTTCGTATAATTATGGTTTAAGAATAAAATGTTATACATAGATATTGATAAATGAAAGCACATTGTTTTTCTTGTGGAGAGTTTCTTTTGGGGTATCATTATTGGAAATGTTATTAGATATGTTTCAAGTTTTTATATTAGTTTTCATTTTCAGTGCTGTTTATTATTAAGGAGGATATTGCTGTTTCATTCAAATTTCAGTACTCTAGGTGAAACGATGAAAAAACAGCCACCACACTTTTTCATATAATTTTCCAGATATCTCTGCAACGACTGGGAAAATAGAAGGGGATTACTTGATGTCTGTTTCATGACCCAATTACTGGAAGATGACCCACAACACATACATGTGGTTGCACAGCTAAGACCCTTTTAATTCAGCATAGAGGGATTTGCCCAAATGTTATATAGATCTTTTAAAGATTCACCCCAGACTGCCTCTTTCATCAAGAATTCCAGCATTTGGAACCAATGAAATATACAAATAAAATTTCAGTCATTCCTACACACTTAAAGATAGACAATTGCTTGCTTTATATAGTGCCCCATGTTAGACACAATGCAATATTTAAAAGTGTATAAACTGGCCCTTGTCAGAAAATAAAATTGGCAACTGAAATTAGAAATATACATGTAACTACTAACTTTATGCTATATATGCAATACAGTAGTCTAGAATACATGCTACATACATTCAGAGGAAGGCAACCCTACTTCTAGCTTAGGAAAATTCATACTGGATTCTTTAATTCTGGTAGGATTTCTACTGCAATCAGTGAGAAGTCAGAAGCTCTCCACGTACAGAGTGACTAATAGAGGAAGAAAGATTCTGGAGTTAGCAAAGGGCTGTTAATGGAAAGCTATTTTATGTTAATTATCTTTACCCTTAGAAGTACTGTTACCATGTAATTCTGGCATGACAATGGACTGGCAACCACTTTAACATCTCCTTTATCAGAGATTTTCAACTGAATTGAGAGGGAATTTTTATCACTGGAATTGAACTCTGATATACAGAAAGCAATGAATTTTTTAAATTGAAAAATGAAATTAGATGCATGCTGCTTATTGGAAAATTTAAAAACATGCCCAGTCTACAAAATAAGCTGACTAACCAAATGTATTTGAGAATAAACATGTTCCAGTTATACAATTAATATTCAATCACTTTTGAACTTTATTTGCTCCTGTAACAATGTGCAAGTACAAGTGGTCTTTGTTTACAAGGTTTCTAAATCAATCAGTGACTACAGTAAAACAACAGAAAGTAGTCACACCCTTTAAACCAGGAGTGAAGAACCTCTCTCCTACAAGGCCTTATAAGACATGAGAAATCATCAATACCAGCTAACTCACACAGCTCACCAAAGAGAAGCAGTTTCCGCTATTATATTCCAAGAACCCCACAGATTTACTGCCATTGAGTTGACGCCAAATCTGAGCAACCTTAAAGGGCAGGGTAGAACTGCCCTTGTCAGTTTCTCCTTAGGTAACTCTTTATGGGAGTAGAAAGGCCCATCTTTCTCCCCCAGAGTGGCTGGTGAAGTAGTTAATAGTTTAGCACAAACCATCTGGGCCTCCCCAAGAACCTCACACAAAAAATACAGATTCATGAAACAAACAAATGAGTTGCTGATAATAAATAACATTAATAAAAAATTCTGATCAGAGGAAAGAAATCATAATAGATTCTTGACATAACGACAGAGTAACTTCCATCAGACCCTTCCACTAGTAACAATGATATAGTCTAGACAAAATATTTTTTAAAACAACTTTCTAAAAGCAATAAAAACAAGTGCAAATCGGCAAAAACTAGAAGAACTACGGTCCGTGGAGGAAGGAGACCATTCTTGATGACAATGGATAGCATGTGCCAGTTTGTGTGGGTACGAGGTACTGGACTGCAGCTGAAAACGGTGATCTTGCGTGGCCAAAGAGTCAGAAATCAGACTACCATAATCCTATCACAGCAGCTGCAGTTGTAAGGGAAAATCTCACAGGAAAGAACCACCCAGGAGGAAACGCAGAATTGCTTGTAAAACTTTCCCGGACATCTTTGACCACTAAACTGAGTACAGGGTAAGACTACAGGGACCTAGCAGAAACAAACGGGTAGAATGCTAAAGCTCTGAGCAAAGATTTCAAACGCTGTCCAGGAAGGAGCAGACTGAGCTTGGAGATCAAGTCCCGACAAATTTAAGGGCCTGGGTAAATCAAGGTTTTTCAACCAAAGCCCCAAATGAATACTTCTTTCATGTCATACAATATATATCTTAGTGACATAAACAATGCCATACTGAAGAAAAGAAAAACCAACAAAAGTAATAGAGATCTTTAATTCAGTAACCACTTTTTCCTTTTTTTAACTAAAACACATCTGAGATATATGACAGACAGATCCTTCCTCTCCGTAAAAGTGGTTTCTTGGGGATTCTCAACAGGCTTACAGTTTAACAAATAACAGCAAATACAAAGTACAAAGTCTCCCAGGTGACTTTGGTAAAGCTCCAAATGGCACTAACACACTATTCCCAAATCAAGATTTAACACAATCTTTTCAGTGTCCTTCTTTTATATCATACAATCTCTACAGAAAAATAGGTTAAAGGGGAAAGCAAGTCAGGAAAGATTTAAAAACAATGCCAATGTCCACACATACACTCACTCACTGCCTTCAAGATGATGCTGACTCATAGCAACCCTCTAGGACCAGGTAGAACTGCCTGTGTGTTTCCGAGACTGTCACTGTGTACAGGAGTAGAAAGCCCCGTCTTCCCCCCTTGTTGACATGCAGTGACCTAACGTAAGGTTTCTGAGACTGTAAATCTTTTATGGGAATCGGCAGCATCATCCTTCTCCTGTGAGGCAGTTGGTGGGTTTGAACCACAGATTTTGTGGTTACCAGCCTGATGCCTGATCCACAGCACCACCAGAACTCAAACGAAGTTTGGTTTAGAAAAATGTTATTTGCCATTTATAATTATTTTATTGATTATATATTTGTGCTGGTTCCCCATATATCTATTGGGCATCTTGTTAATATTTTCATTTCTTTATCTATTGACATTGTCAGTAAGCTACTTTTCTCATGGCCCCTCAACAGACTTTAAGGAAAGTAACACTAAAATCTACCTATGCGTTCCATTACGACTGCATTTACACATAAGTGGCTGGAAAAGACTCCACGTAATTTCTGGATTTTGTCATTTAATTTTTAAAATACTGACTTTTTAACCATTCTAATTCTTTCTGGAATATGACATCAGATGAGAATATAAATTTCCCCCAATAAGTAACTCATCAGAGTGTACTGAAAATTTTTCTTTTCCCCAAAGAGTTATATGCAACAAAACCTGCGAAAGCTGGAACTCAATGGCATTGCCTTGCATTTCTGGTCTTACACGTTTTCTGCCTTTTACAGGGTGTGGCCTTACCATTTCTGATCCCTTATTTTAGTGGAAAATGTTCAAGTTTTCCATCTCCAACAGGTTTCTACCTTATACCAGTGCTGGAGTTTGCAGGTGTCACTATACTAAGTTCTTAGTTACACTAGAAATTTGAGTTGCCTGGCATTTTGTTATTAACTTCACCATCTGAATTATTATAACATGTGTGTAAACTATGTATTCAAAGCAATAATTATAACTAATTTCATGCTGTTCCTATATAATTATTTTACATGTCTTATCTACAAAAAATACAAATTGTTTGAAAGTAAACTCTTACACTTATGTCATTAAAGAGAAAGACCAGGCTTCTCTATTCCCGTGAAGGGCGAGAGTCTTGGAAACCGACAGGAGCTGTTTTACCCTGTCTAATCGACTCGATGGCAGTTAAGTTCAGTTTTGCTTTGGTTTCTATGTCATTAGTAACTTCTTATTTAGTAGACATTCGGTAAATACTTGTTGAGTAAATAATATTTTCCCAACAAGTCCAGCAATATTAAAATATAATAAAATGGGAAATAAAAGTCCTCAATAATAACAACAAATCAACAAAGCCCACATGGAAGAAGCACACTAGCCTGTGTGATCACCAGGTGTCGAAGGGATCAGGTATCAGGCATCAAAGAACAAAAAATCATATCATTGTGAATGAGGGGAAGTGCGGAGTGGGGACCCAAAACCCATCTGTAGGCAATTAGACGTCCCCTTAAGGAAGGGTCTCGAGGAGGAGATGAGCCAGTTAGGGTGCAGTGTAGCAACGATGAAACATACAACTTTCCTCTAGTTCC